TTTTTATCAAGTAAAAATTTTATTAATAACAACATCCTCATAGTACTATTACACGCTAGATTACACTGCACCCCTAACCATTGCAGTGTCAGTTACAGCCCCTTGAAGAACCAACCTTCCAAAAACTGCCATGCAAAAGCACAGCTTACAGACATAGTCAGAAGCATACATAAGACACAGAGAAAACAGAAACAGAATGAGCTACCCTTGTTCGACCATAACAAAACGCCAACCGCACAGTAAGTCCGAAAATCTAATCTTCTTGCGCTTCTCCATTGCTGCAGTAGACATATTCAACCAAGCCCATAATGTTGTTTTTATGCTCATAACCACATTGCTTCTATCCAGTACCCCTTGTCTGAATATTACATCATTCCTACACCTCCAAATGTTCCACACCACAGCATAAGGTAACCCCCTCCAAATATCATGTGCTACCTCTTGACTATTAAAATCGGGCCAGTTAAGAAGCAGTTCTGAAATGGATGACCAGTTCTGTAGATCATACTTGGCTCCTTGGTGAACAACCAAGAGCTCCTCCCAAATACCCTTTGTGAAACTGCAATTCAGGAGTAAATGTTCGACTGTTTCTACTTCCACCCTGCAAAGGCAGCATCTATTAGGTAAATTCATACCTCTTTTCACCAAGTTATCCACTGTCAAAATTTTCTTCCAATGTAGTGTCCACATAAAAAATTTGACTTTGGTTGGAATCCTCGGCTCCCAAATGATCTTACAAGGAAAAGATCTTCTCTCTTCATTTCTCGGTCTCTCCATTTCGATCAAACGCTTGTAACACGAGCTAACCGAGAAAATTCCATTCTTTTCCTTCTTCCACTTCCATTCATCGTCCTCATCCACTAAATGCACATCACGAAGAATGACCATTAGCGAATCAAGTTGCGCTTGTTCACTTTCTCGGAAAAGTGTCCTTATCAAATGGAGATTCCAATGTCCACCACTTTCATAGTGATCCCTAACCGTACCCCTTATAAGTGCGGTATATTTAAAAATTTTGTGGAATCTCCTCTTGAAAGAATTTTCCCCTAGCCATATGTCATGCCAAAACCTTGTTTGATCTCCTCGATTAGCCACATGCTTGATACTATCAAAGAAAGTATCTTGAGAAGCTTGGATACTTTTCCACAAGCTACATCCATGACTTTGAGTTGAAAGTGTAGGCCTTCCGCCCTCGTCACAAGTGCCATACTTAGCATCGATCACCTTTCTCCATAATGCATCCTTCTCTCTACCATATCTCCATAACCATTTCATAAGTAATGCTTGGTTCATTACCTTGATTTTACGGATACCTAGTCCCCCTTCCGCCTTTGGAGAGCACACATTCTCCCATGCCACAAGATGAATTTTCCGTTTTTCAGAACCCCAAAGAAAATCCCTCATTATTTTCTCGAGCCTATTTGCAATGCTTGAAGGAACGGTTAACAAAGATAAATGGTAAATGGGTAGACTAGCAAGAGAACTTTGTGCTAGTACTAATCTTTCCCCTTTTGTTAGGATTTTCCTCTTCCACCCACTCAAGCATTTTTGGAAATTCTCGATAATTGGATTCCATACTTCAACATTCTTGAAATTGGCCCCTAGGGGGAGCCCAAGATACTTGCAAGGGAGAGCACTAGTTACACAACCAAAGTAATTTGCCAAGTCCGTCAAATTAGGAACATTACCCACTTCGGCTAAAGATGATTTAGCTAATTTGTTTACTTCGGTTATTTCATTTCAGAAAAGAAAAGCTAAAGTGATTTATGTTAAGTCCGATAAAAATGCCTTGAGTTGATAACTTGATATATGATCTATGTTAAATCACTGTGCTTTGAAAAATCATCAAACAGGTAGCCCAAAACTTGCAGTAAACTTCAGGATATAAGTCATATATCAAACACAGAAGTTGCAAATCAAGCAAGTGAAGCAACCAATATACAGTATACTTCCTCACAATTTAAAAACTAGCACGCACCAAACATTATTATTGCATAAAATTCTGTTAAACCAAATCCAACATAAAAGTTACTTTCAGCCAGAAATATTGCAGTGCAAGGCAGTAGCCAACTTATTGAACACCATAACAAACCAAGAGAAAACACCACACTAGACCTGTCCAATCCAGCCAACTTATTGAACACCTATTACTAGTACAACACAGTGCTAAGAGAAGCCCTCAGCAATCCCTGTTACTAGGTCAATTTGTGAATGGTTTTCATGTCAACAACTTGGTCAAGTGTTTTTTGCTCAACATGGTCCCACCACTTGAACAAGAAATTTTCAACCACCAGTCTGAACCAAGGAGATAACTTCAGACCGTCTTCACCTGCATCTGCTTTTCTCAGTATCTCTTTCAGCTGCTCACGATTGACATACTTAGCATCAGCAACTTCATCAGGATTTGGGTCGTAATTAACATCTCGGACAATAAAGAGCAGGTAATCCACTGTAAATTAGCAAAGCACAAAACCATACATCAAAACTGTAATTATAATAGGAAAACTAATTAAAGAAACTGGATGAGAGAAATGAAGCTGTCATTATTACATTCATGCTCTCCCCACTTGCCATCAGATGGAGCCTTGTACAGAATGCGCCCAAGGGGAATGAATTCATCAACTGGCACATCTTCTGCTGGAATACCCAGTTCATCCAACAGCTTCCTCTGTGCAGCATTCCTTACCCCTGCACGTCAATAAAACAGAAAACTCAAATACTGGTAAAAATAAACGAGTGTAACAACGGAATTGAAACTGTAGGAATAAGGTCTCTTCAATTCAAAAAAAAAAGATGTATACCAAGATAGTTCTCTTGTATAAGCTCTGAATCACGATAAAGTGGATGGCTGCAACAGGTGTTTGTCCATACCAATGGGAATGTCACCTTCGTTGCAGATCGTTGCTGTTAAACAGGCGTATAAGACGTCAATATGTAAATCCATCTAAAGTAAAAAAATTGAATAGAAGGTGAACAACCACAACTTTGAAGGTCAATGCATGCACTTAAGTAAAGGCAAAAGAAGAACTAATCTTTATACTATATATTAGGAACTAAAGTGATACTTGTGAAGTTATATGCTACAAGATCCACTTAACCAAAAATTAAGCACTACATTAATTACAATGACTATTGTATCGAGTAACAAGCCATATGTAGTTGTTTAAGAAAAAGTAGAACTCATTGACAAGTTAAGATGAAAAAACATGTTTCCTGACAAAGAAATGTTAGGCGCATGGTTTATTAATGCAAAAGAAATTGATCTCAATCGTTTCAAATTCTTCACATGACTTGAGGGTATGCCAGCTGGATACCTGGATGGGAAGTTTCTTCTAGATTGTAGATTTGAACCATAGCATTCTATCATGGGATATATTGACTATTGATGTGCCTACGTGTAGAGATGTGAGTGTTCGTGAATCCTAACAAGAGCTGACTGCAGAGTTGCGTTTTCAGGAAAGAGGGAATGGTTAGTTCTCCTTAATTTGTTGGTGTATTACATGCGGAGTTGAGGTTAATGGAAATGTGAACTAAGTTTGGTCTGCTTGTAGAAAAAGTATCTTTGATATAGAGATCGGTGAATTTGACTTTCTTTAGCATTGGAGAGAAGGGGATAAAGATTTTGAAATTACTGAATTAAGGAGGCACGTAACATGCTCCTTGTCAAGGAGAGATACTTTTTTCAACAAGTTGTACTACTTTTATATTCTCTGCCCTGTAAAAGTGTAAATGTATTATTTTAATTGCTGACTCATCAATAATAAAAATAATATTGGGACTAGCCAAATCGAAATTAGGAATATATATAACTTTTGGGTCCATGAATTAATTAAACAGAAACAAACTTCAAATCATGCATATATGGCAAAAAATAGTTTCAGTATCATTCACAATTATATGCACTACACGTAAGCGCGTACATGCAAAAGCAACTCATATTTTGGGTTGAACAGAAAAACATTATATGCACTACACGTAAGCGCATACCTGCAGAAGCAACTCATATTTTGTGTTGAACAGAAACACGCTGAAAGCTCGGTGAAGCAAATTTTCAGCTTCTATCTTTTCCATCAAATGGCCTGCAAAACAGTTACGCAGTAAACAGATAGGCTGAAGATCAGCCATCAAGCATGACCATATCTCTACAATATTCCCTGACAGATATGACAGGTGACAAAAAGAATAAAAGATAATATGAAAACAACATTCTTACACAATATCTTTAAACAGGAATCTATAGATATAGGCAAAGGAGGGGT